TTAATAATAACTTTAATGTAAAAAATGGTGGTAATAATATATAAAATACTTCTTTCTGTAAGACGTTTACTTATATTGTAATTTTGTATGCACATTTCCTTTTTTTTTGTTTATTGTTACTTTTTTTATATTTATTCTTTGTAATGGTGTTTTAACTCAAATAAATTATTTTATTATTATTATTATTAAGTACTAGTTTTTGCCCGCGACTTCGTCCGCGTTAGTTTGGTCAAGAGTAATGTATGTAGGTATAGCTGACCGGACGAACTCTATTCCGTCTTAAAGGCCATAAATAATCAGGTTTTCCTGTTTCAATCAAACAGAATGATTGACATATTAGTTAGTTGTCAAATCTAATGTCAAAAAAAGCGTTTGTATGGGAAATAGAAAAGGGTTGTTTTTAGGGTTTTCCCGGCAATTATTCCAATTTTTCTCACCTTTTATACCTTCCCTGAACCTCCACAAACATTCCAAGACTAAGATAAGATAAATCCGTTCAGCTGTTCTCGAGTTTTAGCGAGACTAAGGAACAGCAATCCATTTTTATATATAGAAGATTACTAATTGGTTCATGCAAATACTCAAACTGTTTTGTTTAGTACACGAGAAACTTACAACTGATCTTAAGTTATTGAAAATCTTAATTAGTTGTTGTGTTTCAAACAAAATGAAGGGATATAAAAAATGGCCGACTATTACTCATATTCCATTATTTTCAAATTAATTTGACTAGTGAAAATTCGAACTAGTGAACCGTTGAATAATTTTGATATTTTTTTTTTATAATAAAAAACCTTTAATTAACATTTTAAAAGAAAGTTATATTTTTCGGATATACCAAGCGACTTTATTTTTGATAAAAACTACATACTAACGACGTTCTGGCTACTTTTTAGCAACCGTGATCACGGGTAGACGAGATTTGATAGACTTAATTAACCTTAATTTTTATTTAAATATAATTACGTACTCTAAACAAATTAACTTTAAAAAAACTATTGAGTAGTCCTGGTTTTTTCATACGCAAAAACCTTATAATGTAATATCGCTTCAAACTTTATGTTAGGATTGAATTTATTGTCCAGTATTGTTAAAAATCAATGTTTTTTTTTACCAACAGGAGGCAATAAACTGCTTCTTTTAATATCTTCCATTTTATATGAACCCGTTACTTTTATTTAGGTATTTATCATCAGAAATGATTTCACTGAAACTTGTACGAGGGAATTTAAATAAAGACTAAAGAATGTCATTAATATAAGGCGGTAACTTGAAAGGTTTCTTGTGTGATTGTCAATCAAAACCTTTGTTTTCGGTACGCGTCACTAACCTTCTATATCATTCGTACTCTTTTGCGTACTTTATGCTATAGTCCTTACTGTCTGTCGCACTTTTCACGTCTGTTTGGATTAGATACATGTATGTATATTTATGAATAAAACAGTGAAACGTCACAATTTTCGTTATTTGGTTCTGGTTTTGCTGCTAATACATTAATATGATTATGTGCGTATATTACTGAACCCCTCAAAAGCTACCTAGAATACTTGTATGAGGCTATATATTGAACTGCTCATAGAGCCAAACAACTCAGGCAAAAAGGTATTTCATTCCGTAAATTCCAGCGAAAAGGTTTCCATTCAACTATACACAAAATATAGAATCGGGTTACATCAGTAAAATTCCTCAATGACAAGATCGAAAAATTAAATATTGTGCCATGCCTTGTACTATAACTATTTTTTTTTTGCAATAGAATAGCATCATATGGAGCAAACTGTTTTCTGATGTATTAATCCTTTATGTTAATCTCTTAGAGTTGTTGCAAGCAATTGATGTTTTTGTGTATCACATGTTGAAGTCGAATTGTAAAGAATCTAAAATCAAAAATTTTGTCGAGTTGAGCTGATAATGTTTAAAGGATTTGTGGATAATTAAGTGATCGTTTTAAAGTGATAATAAAGTCAGTGGTAGCCCAGTGATTAGAAGGCGCGCCTCTCATGCATGAAGGCGCGAGTTCGATCCTGTACCAATGTGGCTTTTCCATGTCATATGTACTTTCTAAGAGTATTTAGACATCAATGAGTAATGCTTTCCCAAAAGAAGGTTGATGTCAGGCAGGCGGCCGGTCGTAAAAACAATTAGTCAAAACTATTCACAACATGTAAGGCAGACCCGGGCTAAAGCTGGGAAATTGCCAGGTAGAAGGTACAAAGTGACCGTTTTAACTGATTACAATTATTATTATAAGGCAACAATACATTTCCTCATATTAAATATGAGAAAGATGCAAAATTTGTGTTACTTATGTAACTATACAGTTTTGTACACGCTAACTCTGCTTATTTTTGTGAAATTATATATAAATATATATTATATATAAACAGAAATTAGTTTTCTATTAAGCTCTTAATTTGTTACATAAAAATAATTTAATTTTATATTATAGTGTTACCAATAGAGTGATGAGAGTGGGCATAAGAAGCTACCATACATCTGATATTAGAAAGGAAAAATAGGGTTAATTAAAATCAGAAAAACAATTGACGACGAGATAGTTAACGTCCCTCCCTCATCTTTCCAACTAATAAAACTCTCTCCTGTAATAAAAAGTTCTCAGCAGGCGTTTCTGTCGAAGTTCACAAGTAACTAAACAAGAATCATAATACCAAGTTTATGACGTAGCACATGACGTCATTAACCGTAGTTATATTTCAGCTAGTTGTTTTGTATTGAAACACTTATTAGTTCGTCATATTCTCTCTCTTATGAAATGACATTGTTTTTCTTATACCACTAAAAGTCGAAACAGTATGTGATAACGCTATATTCTCTAATTATATGTAAACTAAATAGTGTCTAAGAATAATCATTACCCGGAATTAAGTACCAATATCCTAGCATTACGAATAAGTATACAGTTTGAACTTGTTAAAATTCTTTAAAGATATAGTAATTAAAAGTAAAGTAATTCAATAGTACAAAATTACTTATCCACTAGGGTCTTCATTAGTAGTTACTAAATGCATAAATACTTAATTATTCTTTTTAATAAAAATAAAACACGTATTGTTTTTAATAATGGGGTCCATTAAAAACATTACATTTTTATTTCAACGGTCTCCTAGCCAGTAAACGTATAAATAGTCCAATAATTAAATTTCCCGAAAACGGTTAACGGAAATATTTATCTCCCTCTTAAAATACATTTACAGCCAATCCAAAGCTATTGCAATTGTATATTGTAAGTGTAAGGAAATGCGGTTCATCGCGAACCTTCACTCTAAGATAGACCAATTTATTTCTTTTACCGTCTTATAATTGAATTTTAATATCTAAAAATTGTTACCAGTGAAATTAATCTATTATTTTTGATGTTACGGCAACGGTACAACAATGTTATATAATTCAGCAATCAATATAATGTCCTAAGGGTTTAGTTCCCATTTAACAGAAGCACGTTAATTACTTACATCGATGTCGAGGCCATGAACTTCGTGTTAATTTCACATATCCACTACACCTTCACTATCTGATGTCCAACATTTTAATTACTTAATGATCCACACTATAGGGCGTCAGTTACGAAACGAGCGATTCCGTGAATTGATACAATATTTACAAATAAAACTGAAACGTGAAATTGATTCTTCTTAAAACAAACGCATTTTCGTCTATGTTCATCTTAACTTAATTCCTTTTTTGTATACATAATCAAATTATTATAAAAAATATTTATGAAGCGAAATGTGAGGAAAAAAGTATTTGAAAATATTTATTACTTGAAGTCGATATTTTAAATAGTTTATAGATATTTGAAAACAAGTGTGGATTCATTATATCTGAACTTTGGATACTAGACACTATAAAACTTAAATTAGCTAATCATTTGTAGTAACAAACATTCTATATTTTAAGCAAAGGTAACTAAAAATACTTATGAATGATATAACAATTATATATCCTTTCATTTATTGCTTACAGAATCAATCATTTGAAAACAATTACAAAGTCATTGGCTTTGTTTATTAAACGACTTTAGATAAGACACTACTAAAACAACGATAGATCTCACAATATCGACCAAATTGTGAATCTGTTATTGTATATGAGTAAAAGAAACAAACAAAATATTTAATGTTAATCATTGGATATGAGAGTCTATTATTATTTAATAGTCTACTTATCAATACTATTTTATAACTGTATTGGTTTTTAATATTTTGTGTGTCTACTCAATCAGTAATTAAATATAACAATTCAGTAATGTAATTTGCATAGTACCTAATGATAACATTTTAAGTATATCATGTCATTGTAAGATGAAAGTTGTTTATTTTGTTGAATTTGTGATATAAATCAAAATAGCACTTCTAAGTAAAACCGACGAGCATTTAAATAAAATTAATTTATAAAATTTAAACAATATTTTATGTAATAAATAATAAAAACTAATAGCTCCACTAAATTCAATAATGTCGAAAGTAAAATGGTTTCTTAAAACGCATGCTTATGATTTTCTCTTTGTAAACGAAACAATAAAGATTTTCATTAAATCTTATTTTTAAATATATATATTAATAAATGATAGTCAGAAATAAAGGACTTTGTAATTTTAGTTTTATGAAATCCGCTTTAATCGATATCTGATATACACATATGTATAAGCAGCTGTAAATTAAATAGCTGCGAATTAGTAAAAAATATACAGATTTCTAAATAAAATTCTAGAATTATAAAAACGACTTTTTAATATACTAAAAAGGTAATTTTCTTACATTTTTACTATATTCCTCAGTATCCCCCTTATCATTTATTCATTAACTCTATAATCTGTTAATTTATTGTTTACTGTCAACTTCAAACAATTCGCTGTCTATGGCCATGCGTCAGTGTTGCTTGTGGGTTATTCTCAAGTTATGTGCGGTGCGTAAGAGTCGTGTTGTGTAATTTTGTAATAAGTGTTTACTGTGTTATTGTGAATTTAATACTTTAACGACATGCATCGTTCATCTTACGTATTATTTTGTGCTATACTTATTCTTTGTAATATATCACCTTTATTATCAAAAAGAACTTTTGGTGGTGGAAGACATTCGTATCCAAAGTCGGGCGGCTTGTCCGGCGGTGGCGGAAGCCATTCTTATCCTTCGGGAGGTCTTTCTGGTGGGGGTCATGGATATCCATCAGGAAATAGTCACGGGTATCCTTCATCAGGAGGATTATCAGGAAACAGCCGGGGAGGAGGGTATCCTGGCGGTGGATCGCAACCTCATCCTTCAGGAGGCATGAGTCATGGTTACCCATCACAAAGTAATTCTCACCAATACCCCGGAGGTAAGGGATTGTCAGGTAACTCCCCCGGTTACTCGGGTCCTGGCCATACGACAAATGTGCATTATCATTACAACTACAATCCTCCCCAGCAAATAAGATATACACCCGCGCATGGTGGTCCCCCTATGAGTTACCCTGTATACCAACATGCTCCCCCGACTTACGTTTATCAATATAAGGATTCCGGAAGTAAATATGGAACGCTATTGGCTGGTCTGGCGCTATTGAACCTTGGTACACTCGGCGTCAGTGCATATGCGGCTAGTAAAAGTCATTCGAACTATAAACCACAACCGGGTGAAGTATGTAAATTTGGTTTGAAAAAAGAGAACGGTGACTACGAGGAGACAAAAATCGACTGCCAATTAATTACTAGTTTTATATTCCAAGAAGAGGCCAAAACTCAAAGTGGAGGTACAAATACCACCACAATTACAACAGTGACAAATGTTACAACCGTTAACATGACAAACGGGTCTGAGTCATCTCCGGCACCACCGACAAACATAAAAACTCTCTATGAAATGTTACCCAATGGGACTCTAGTACCTATAAATATTACAACTAATGAAACAGTTGTGAATAATACCTCATCAAATGAAGGGTTAGCATCAACATCTTCAGTCACAATAACGACTACTAACACTACAACTGTGACAAATGCCTTAGATGTTAAAGGGAAACCGGTTGATGTGACCCCCGGTATGAAATGCTATGTAATACGACACACACCATCATCAAATATGAAGAGATCTGTCCCTTGTGGTTTGCTGCAGTCATATGCCGAGCAATCATTAAAAAAGAACTCGGCAAATAGAAATGTACCAGCCCTTGTAATTTTAAGTATTTTTGTGGCAGCCTTATCTGTATTTTAAATAAGCATTCTACTGTTTCTTAATGATGTATTATATTTTTAATTTGTAATGTATTATACATTTAACTTTTGTAATGTTAATGTTTACAACTTTTCACAGATATTACTATAAGCACTGTTTTGAATCTTCCAAATTTATTTAGCTTGTAAGTTGTGAGAGGCCTTAGGTATGCCGTCCATACATATAAAAGAGGAAGTGGCAAAAATATTATATAAATTATATATAAATGTTCAATGAAGGATCCTCAATAATCATCACAAGAATTATGTAGAAACTAATGCTGCTTTTTATATTTCTTGTGTATAAAAATGTGATATTTTATGTCTGTCTATTTTAATAAAATTTGTTGTATTTGAAAATTGTATTTTGTTCTTCCCTCTCAAGCTTCATATATACATATCTAGACTGTTTATAACTAATATTAATTTTTTAATAATTTTATAACAAATTTTTCATTAGATTTATTACGTAATATATTGAATTTAGTTATATAGTCATTCCAAGATTATTATATACATATGCCTGTATTGTCATAATTGCTTTTGCATGTTACAGAAAAATAACTGTTTGTTGGTGATTTTTCTATCCATCATTACAAACTATTTGAATTCATCAGTAAAATGTAATTCATATGTTGAAGTAGTGTCTCCACGGATGAACATGTGTTTCAATTATTATTATAGTGTGCATCACTTATTTCTTTCGATAAAGACTTGTTTAAATGTTTGATTGTAATTGATGAACAGATTTTTATAAATAGTACATCATGAGATTTGTATCATTGACGCAATATGAAATTGCGTAGTAACACTAGAAATTTGAAATCAAAATGGCGGATATCAAAAGAAAAATATTTTAAAAATGAACTGTCTGATTTTAAAGATAACAGTACGCTGACAAGCTAGTTAATATTATAAGTCTTCGCTTATTAAGTATGAAAATATTTTATTGCATGAGGGACTGGAAACTATGTAATGTAACAATACAATCTTGTGCCAAGCATTCTTGGAAGATAGATGTCACATTCAAAAAGATATTACAAAATAGTACAGTGTTTACTACATATTAGTACCTGGTAGTTTCACCTTTCCTTTAAAGGATTGGCACTCATCAAAGTTTTCAATTAACATAATTAAATTACTTTTTTTTTAAACAACAACAACTGCTTCGGTTTTTTATTAAAAAATAACCATTATGTATAAATCGAATAAGAATTCTACAGCCAATTATTTGAAGCTATACGATATAGATTAAGTAATAGTTCGAATTCTGCTTTTTGACTGTATGCCATTTTGAATTAATCTCTTCTTATATTAGGTCACTACGCAATCGGTTCTTTTATAAATATATTTAAAAAACAATCGCTAATAAATAAAAATATCCTATATAATCATCCTGTCCGCATTATGATTTATAGTTAGCTAGTTATAGACTATAGTGTATGTTTTATATGTGAACGATTTATTTAATACAATAAATATCACATCAGTACTGAATAATGTATAAATCGTGATTTTCCACAATCATAATAAGAGGATAATAATTATCTTCTGAAATGATGGCTGCACTTGGTATATTCAAATATATAGATATTTATAGGTACATAAACACACCTTCGTATTTACCTTTGGTTATAAGGATTGTGATTTAATCACGGAGTTTACCTTCCTCGATCTGAACCGGACAAACATTTGTGTATTTCGCTATGGAGCAATGTGAAACCTATAATATGAATTATAATGCCGATGATTGAAATATTTGTTGTTATATGAACTTTTTCATTCTATTTCGTTGTAAAATAATTCAATACAGTTTAAATTGTTAGATATGAAAATGACGATCTTATTACTTTAGTAATTAATAGATATCTTAATTTGGTTTGTTGATAGTATATAGACGAAAAACAATTCGCTTACCACAAGTTTCTTTATCTCCCAATTTAAGTATGGAGTGTTTATTTTTTTCCAAGAACTCAGTTTTTTCTATAATGCACAAAGATTTATGAATGAAAAACTGTTGCCTATTAAATGTTATTATAGTCGAAAGCCATTGTTTGTTTACGTGGATATGGTCTATTTGGTCATTATTCATTAATGTAACATGTTTGTCCTTTCATATTTTTTATGCTATGGCTTCATTTGCAATCAAGTCTTAGAATATTCTGCCAATGTCAACGTATTTATCTACCAAACGAATTATAGTATAATACAATTTGTGAAGAAAACGCAGGAGTTTGTTTATATTTTTCTTGTTACATTTATTTTATACAACATAATATGAACGTAACACAGACCGTGTCATTTGACAATTGGTACCTAATTGGCATTGTCCGTACTTAGTAACAAAGGAAGTGGTTATATTTTAGTCAAATAAAGTACTTTTATACAATATTAATACAAAAAATAAATATATACTTTTTGTCGTACCGACTTCTGTTTTTGGTTGTAGTTATATAAAATATATTTTCAAATCTTCAGTGAAATCAGAATAGCTATGTATTTGGTATGTGCATCAATTTATATATAGCATTATATTTTTTTTATTTTTATTTCTCATTGTTATCCGTCAATATGCTAGACTGACTAGCGACTGTGTAAACTGTGTATTGTAACAAAGCAATTATATTTCAGTTGTGTTTGTACTTTACTTGGTTATTGTGATTGGATTTGTTACAAGCCTGATTGTATACTGTCAAAGCGTAAAATTTTACTTATTTGAAGTTTATAATCAAATACCTTATTTCCAAATACATAAGGTTGACTAAATGCTCTGCGTTATTTTTGTAGTCCAAGAGACAGTATGATAGTCTAAATTAAGAAAATACATGATGATGTAATGGAAAAAGAAAACTACAAATAATACACAAACACACACATACAATCAAACGCACACTCACACGTAACACGAACATAAACTCAAATATTTATGTTTTTAGTAGGATCGTCTATAGAAAGGAATGTTTTGAATCTATAGCTATTGAATTCAGAGTACGTTAGAACCTGTTAATACAATACACTAAAAAATATCATGTATTGTTCTAAATTTTTTAAACATTCTCATTGTTTCCTCGCGTGGTTATAAATATAATGTAAAAAAATGTGAACATTTTATTTACAGCCAAGTCACGATTGAAATCAATATCAGTAAGTGAAATATACACGACAAGTGTCTATAGTTTTGATATTTTATCTCAACCAGCCGAAAAAAGACAGTTTAAGATAAAAATATTTGATACAGATTCCCTATGTTGCAATATTGATATTAAAACAGAGTAAATAATGAAATGTCTAGATAAAACAAAATGGCGGAGCAACAAACATTAAGTGTTACAATGTGACATTTCAGGTTTTTTAAGTGTAATTTATAATGAGTCATTTTATTAATCTAGAGCACTAATATTTGTCAATGATTAAATTTTCTATTATATTTGGTAAAAATAATCTACTTTTACAAGTAATTTTTTACACATTTTTAATTAAAAAATTTCACTGAAACATGTCAAGGGTGTTTTGGAGCACGACTTTGTACATTACCAATACAATAAATTATCCTTAATTGCCACTCGTCACAGTTGGCGTGACGTCAGCAGAACTAACAAAGGAAAAAGAGTTTTTCCCAAATATTCTTATTTGCTTTACATTTAAATAATGTAAAATATGTATATCGGTATTAGCATAGGTGATTTTAAACGAATACTTTAGGAATAAAATAAAAAGTTAGTTGTATTGTAGTTATATATTTCTATTGTAAATTTTCTTTATTTATCTTTACAGCACCTATTTAAAACCTAGATAACGTACTGTTCTTGTTTGCTTTATGTACAAGTCATTGTACTTTTATTTAGCAAAAGTAAGATAAGGCAACTCTTTCTAGTATTTCATATGTAGGTTAGTAAAATAATCTATAAACCTATGGAACATTGAACGTATAAAAATTAAAAAATTAGCTTCCAATGTCACAATAAATAGTGAGATATAAAATTTTATCGGATAGTTAGAAAAAAGAATCTGACATTTTTATCTTAGAAAAAAATGTGAAATAAAATTTACTAAAAATCTGAGAATATTACTCAAACCTTTGTACTTCTCGAGACCGAAGTTACATTTGGTCGGCTCAATATGTATTTCCTATCACACATTTCTGAAGTCAACTCTCACCACTCACACTTATTCTTTACCTTCTACCAATTCAACTCTGACCTTAATATCAATTGGAAAGATTCATAATCATAATTTTCTTAGACATATATGTAGGAATATTGCTATATCGTAGGCAGTAAAAGCTAGCTGTGGTCAAATTACAGCAGCTTGAACATACATAGGCTCGACCGGGGAAGTACCACCCTCTCATAGAAGATCGGCGTGAAGTACCTAGTCTTATACACCTGCATTTCGTCCGATGAATGAGAGAGCCTGTTGCCCTTTCCTTTTTCCCACCCTTTCCTGCCTTTTCCCAACATTTCCTCTCTCTTCCTCAAATAAGGGTCGCAACGCAACCGCAAAATAGTTTTCAAGATGTCCAAGGGAACCGGTTCTACCTTCATGACGTAGGCTGTCAGTCCGTTTGCCGCCTTTGTCGTAAAAAATAATAATCATAATAGTAACTTTATTATAAACGAGAAAGCTAAAATAATATTAATTATTTCTTTCAGTTATAATATCCGTGTGCTGGGTGGCTGGTGCTGGTGTGGGGCTGCTGCCTTTATTTGGCTGGCACGCGGCCGAGGACTCAAACCGTGGTTGTTACTTTGTTGAAGTCATGGACTATAACTATCTCCTCTTAATATACTTCGCTACCATCGTCACACCCAGCGTTCTGTTAGCCGCTTTCTACGCCCATATCTACAGGGTGGTCGTTAAACAGGTAAGTTTTTTATTAACCAAGAATTTAGGTAGGTAATTATAAAATTATTGCTTAGAGCATTCATCTATAATAATATTATAGACGAAAAAATTAGTATAAAACCTCTTTCAGCCAAATTGCAGTACTATAAAATAAACGTCAATGTCATTTACCTATATGGTTCTTTCTCCAGAATGGACAAACGCCATATTATGCCTACACGTTGCAGCATATGGGACTTTTGTAAAGACATATTATATTTAAAAAAAAACAGGATGATATCACTGACTTTTAGATCGCAATAAACAAGTAAATATAAATTAAAAAACAAAAAACTTTAACCCTTGCAAAGACGGAGATAAAATGTAATTCTGTATGTGCATATGTACTATGTTTAATATGATTGATAGGCCTTTTCAATCAATGCCAACATCACAACTAGTTCCGCTTAAATTATTTCCTTCCTCAAGCGCTGCGGTCACTGACTGGGCATCGCTTTTACTTTGTAGTATTGAAATGCGATTCATTGCATTTTTTAACATTAAAATCCCTAAATGAAGTAAATCAATTCATCATTCATTTATTTTTAATGTAGCTTTTCTCTCAGTTTTTTTTATTTATACCTTTTTCTACCGAGATACCGAAAATCGTACTAAACCAAATCCACAAATAATTGGGAGACTAGTCATTGATTTTTCATATGTACCTACTGACAGTGAAACAACAATTTTGTTGTGGGAGTAATCCTTTTTTTAACTAAATGATGAATGAGTTGGTTATAAAAGAAATGCCTTTAAATTCGGGGATGGAGTACTTTGCCGTTTGGTTGTAGCTGTAACCTTATTATATATCCTTACAATAATGACCTTAGTTGACTCTCAGTGTATCAGAAATGAAGGTTATAAGACTCTTTTTCTTATTTAAATGACTTTATTTGTGGTTTTATCTCGTAGTCACTTCTGAATTGTACTGAAACCATCCCTATAATGAAAATACATTTGTTTTCAACACATCGCGTGTACTCTCTCTTGTAATTAAATTAAATTGATAGGGTTTCCAGCTATTCCGAGGCGACGAGGGTTATCGGAGCCACGGTTCGTCGTAATTAATAAAAGAATCCAATTCTAACACAAAAGTTGTACTGATTGTAAACTCTTAAAAAACAAAGAATGTAGATTGGAATATTGATCGTCCTCAGGCCGTCTCTTTCTATTGAATAAAGTAAAATATATATTTAATTCCAAGGTTCTTTATATGCAACATTATAAAGAGATTCTTATCTTTTAAACATTTGGGCTACTGGTATATCGTAATAAAAATTAATAAACGAATTTGATAACGCGCGAAATTTAAATGAGGTGATCATAATAATGTATTATGACGTTTCAACAAGTTTGCGTTTGTGAAGAAAGTGGTTAAACATTTCCGTTGTTACACACTTTCTAACAGAATATTCATTGGAAAAAAACTAAATTAGTTTTAATGCCATAACAGATAATAAATAATAATTATTATAAATCATTTGTCGGTATTGTACTGGAAATTAAATTTTTTAGTTGGAAAATAAATAGAATTATATATTTATAATAGAGTTAAGGCTGCGCGTTCTAATTCTAGACGCAACGCACTACGTTTCACTTAGAAGGTTTCCATTTACGTAGGGGTTATAAAATTTTATGTTTTTATGTACTTACATATATGTTATGTGTTTAATACATAATACAAAGGGGCATGAAGTATAAAAATTGATTTTACATACTAATTTAACACATTTATTAAAGAAAGACGACAACGACGCTCAATGTAAGTAACAAATAAAGAAAGACTTATATAATGAAAATTAATTGATTCATAAATATTGTAACTAAAAACGATATGGTGTTACATTTAGTCACATAAAGAGACAAGGACGAAAGAAAAATCTTTTAGAATTGCTTATAACTGTTGATACGGAATGAAACGAGATTTTTTTTAAATAAAAATGCATATTATTACGTAAATTAGAATAAAATCAACAAAGGATTACAATGGAAGTTTAATTGGGAAAATATTTTATAATATGCTCTTGTTGGTTGTTGTTGATAGAAATGGTCTTAATTTGTTTTCTTTTAAAAACCACGGATAATCCGTTATTGTAATATGCAAAAACATTACAAACATCTCAATTCTCACTGGTATTTATCCTACTTAAAAGTATTTCATGTTTTTTCTTTGTTGTGAGCCTTAAAAACCTGATTGTATTAAAAATAGATTGTGGTTCTGTGCCCACGACCTATACAGTATATTACAGTCTATACTATCTATATTACAGTAGGTAATGAATTTTAATACCAAATTCCAGTTATATAAAATAATCTAGAGAAGTGAAGAATGATTTTTTTTAATGACTAGTTCATGTCTATGACTTTGACCGTGAATTGGGTTCGGGGAGGAATTAATACTGTTTTCTTAAATAATATAACTATTATAGTGTGTGTAACCAACTGGCAGGGCAGGCAGAAATAGAAGTTTCATGCTATGTTCCTGAGGGAATTTAAGTTGAATTATAATTTATATGTTATTTTGATGTAAAATGGATAATTTGAATCAAATCCGTTCAGAATTTGTTTCGTGAAGTAGCAAATCCATCTATACTTCATTACTTTTGTTGTTTATAATATTGGTAGGCTATCTTAATATTTTTTGGATTTATTTTTAATTTCATTATAACACCAAAAAGTTATAGACGTTTTTGTATTAAACTGGAACTATTAACTTACAACGATTTGACTTTATAACTGAAAAAAATATATACACGAAATAATTTGTGACTGTGGAGTAATTGATCAACGACTGCGATAAACACGCAAAAATACGCATTTGGCGATGTAAATTTGTAGTAGGGGAGTATTCAGTTTGCTTTGTACAAATTTGCATCACTATTCATCACACTACCGACATTTGAAACGTGTCCTTTTTCTCATTGTTTCACCTACTTTAATACTATAAGGAGTGGAGATCGATTAATGAATAACAGTTAACGCTTTTTGTAGTGGAACTATGCAAACGTGGGGTAACCATACAGTTAAAAGGTGTTGTTGTCAAATTCAAACACATATTTTTACATATTATGGATAGTGACGATGACGATGACGATTTAAAAAAAATGTTTCTATTTATATTACTATTTTAGCCACAAACAACAGTAGTAATATCAAATATTTCAATTTCAGATGAGCGCTGTGGTGACCGTAGAAGGAGGGCAGGGTCAAAGAGGAACCATGCTGAGGGTTTTGGGAGCGGCACAGAAGAGAGAAGTCAAGGCCACCCAGAATCTGGCTATCATAGTTTTCTTCTTCATCATATGCTGGATACCGTTGTACACTATAAATGCCATCAAGGCCTTCAGACCAGAACTGGATATTCCTAATCCGTTAACATATTTTTGTATTATATTTTCTCATCTGAATTCAGCGATTAATCCACTTTTATATGCATATCATTTAAAAGATTTCCGTGCAGCTCTAAAAGGTTTAATTCTGACGATGCTGGGAAGAGGAGTGCCGTTACCAGCGGCCTATCGACCCCCTGTACCTATTAGGAGACCAGCTTTAGAGAGATGTAATGCTTTAAGGGAGAGACCACGAGTGTACGTGAATTCTCCGGTCTGGTTGAGACAAAGAGAGGCCGAGATGACAGCGAGTATTGAAAAAAACAAATCAACGAAAATACATGCCGATCCAGATATGGAACCGTTTCTTAATAAATCCGTTCAAGAAGGATCTGGTGTAGACAAGAAAGACAGTGGGCCGTATCTGATAGAACCGACCCAAGAATCACAGAGCCCTTATAAGAAAGTAGAAGAATTGATCCGGAGGGTTCGTAGCGTGAGTTCAGAACACAGTTGACATGAAACAGACCGTCTGCCATCAACTTTCAGTGTGGAGTAGGAAGCTTTAATTATTTTTAAGGACATTATTTATTTTATATTTATATTAATTTTAATATACCAGATATTTTATTACGGTGGTACGTGTTTCGAAGTTTTTGTAATTAGTGTTGAGATTATTAAATGTGCTTGTTACATGCCATAGATAATAAACGTATAAATATGTTTTGAATCTTATTTTTTATTTTAATGTTCCGAGTCCGTCATAAAATAGACACATGATTGATGATGATACCTTATCATGACGAAGTATAAAAAGGTGGCTCGCAACATGTCACTTTACTTGTTTTTGTAATCAAATCAAATAAGAGTACTTTATAGTTGTCAATGACTAAGAATAAATATATGTTATATATTCATTTCGGTTATTTTTTCACATAATAATACTAAATAAATATTACCAACAGAAGCGACGCTTAAACGTTATTTGACCTTACAAACCAACTATCATGTGATCAGTGACTCGAACAGCTCGCTTACAAATGGATATAACTTTCGAGAATATTGGACGACCAAATTGTTTGTTTGTGGTTATGACGTCTATACTTATTCTACTACTTTGGAACCTAATTTTAATACCGTCTGACGAAATATTACGTAAAACATATCAGATTTTGAGTGCAGTCTTTTAAAATCCGCACATAATGTTTTATTATTAAAAACATCAAAAAGTAAATGAAGATAAGCTATTCATTAGTAATCTATCACTTAATTTATATTGCTTTGCTCAAGGTTTATAGCATAACCAGTTTCTAAAATCTAGAAAGTGCTATATTTAATGTATATTAAAATTACTTCCAAGCGTTATCTGTGTTTTAAACTATAAAACATAGTTTCAGCACTACTATGTTACTTTAGGATGAAGTGTAATGTAAGCCAACTAGATGGCGTTGCCTACCAGCGCCATCTAGTAGAACACTTAAGATAATTAAGGAACTGGAAAAGTAAAAAAGTTCTAAAAATCAAAGAAGCTAGGTATTTTTTAAAGTAAAAAAATATATTTAAACTATGGATAAATATCAAAATGACATTTTGGTCACCCTTCTGTTTGGAATTATGTGAATTACCAATAATTTCTTTTTGTATTAAATGATAAAGAACTTTCTTTTAATTGCATTTGGCACATCGAATTGAAAAAAATAATCGTTGCTTAGCACTTACTACTTATAATAATAGGTAATTTAGGTCATATGTATTGAAAGGGGTCCACAGAATAATGAGTGAATGTATTTCTTTGTATATATTTATGTATATTAAAATAGGAATATATTTATATAAGAGGTTTTCTGTAGGTTTACAAGTTTTATTGTGGGCTTTCGTAGTTGTAAGAGACATCTATTGATCTTCAGTCAAATTTTCTGAATATTATTGGAAGTCATTTTTCTACTACCTTCTTCAAAGTCAAAAGGGGAGGGCATGTGCACCTCTTGACCCTCTTCTCACAGCTATAAGGCTGTATATATACTTAATATATACTGATTAAAGTATTGGTTTTATAAAAATTTATGAATTACTTCGTAAATATCTCCTCCTCTGTCATATTATGTATGATATTGTAATTTCACGCTTTTCATGTTTTCATTAAGTGTTCGTAAAATTTTGCTATAGCTTTGCCAATTTTACTATATGGCTATAATTCAATGTATTCCAAAAGATGGCACTGAGTTTTTAATTTTCATGACCTTGTGATTCGAATAAGCGTTATATTTTTATTCACACAGTCTTCAAATAAAACCTAGGAAATAATTATATAACATAAAATGAGTACGAATAATTAATAGCGTTTGAAGTAATAATTCAGTCATTTTCATAATTCTATTTCCCTTGATAGGCAGTCCAGTTTATAACGCAGAGAACTTTGCAGAGCAGAGAATTTTTTTCAAAAGTAACATAAAAGATGAGTTTGATCGATAGATTTAAAGCTACGTTGGCTGACTACAAAGAGACATTTATGGATTACAGGATTCAAAGTGTTATAGATCTTTTAAACTTCTTACCATCAAAAGCGGGATTTTCGATATTGGATACAAAAAATTTCGGTAGGTTTTTTTAAGTATATAAATTGGTGATGTTCTCTATATTATTAATTTAAAATTATTGTTATTTTACAGTACCGTTTTGGATAGTACATTTTTTTCTAGTACTCTACGTGTACGGACTCGGTAGTATTATGTATCAAGTAAACGTTGCGGAGAGTCCGATTGACATTATAAAAAGTTACGTCAATCTAACACTAGTGATTTTGATCATAAATAACAGCTATTGGTTTATAGTCAAAAGGTAAAAAATATATACAGTATTGCCAAAAATTGAAAGTACCGCTTCAATGACATAACAATTTTTTAGACCCATTCTGACGAAACTTATAGAAAATGTAATAAAAAATGACACTCAATCATATCAGCTGGATTTCTTGAAGCCGAAACACACGAAGCTGCTGCGAACAATAAAAATAATTGTCTATGTTTTCTATGGCTTCAACATTCTTGATGTAATTTTCGTCTATTTACCGCGTCGTAGTGACGTCACCAACGAATATTATTCAAATGTTGCTTGTGTTGGTAAATGAATTTTGAACGTAAAAAATAATAATAATGGTATATACGTACTATAAAAATAACTATATATGGATTATTTTGCAGGCATGAAACCGTTGACGCACTTTCCAAAGAAGCAATTATGTCAATTTATTTTATCTGCAACAGAAATATCTATATGTACGGTTGTCCTAAATTACCAGGCTCTGATATTTTTCTTAATATCTCACACAGCGGCGATGTACAGATTATTATGTGAAGAAATTTACGCTCTCGATGATGACAACGTGGACCCAGCCACTGTTAAAGAACGTCTTGTAGTTTTAATCGGTCGTCACACGCTCACTTTAACTATAATTAACACTATAAAGGATCTGTACAGTATGCCTATAGGTATTAATTTTGGCATCAATGCTATATGCATCATATTGTCATTTGCCTTACCTTGGGAAGAATGGGTAAATTTATCTCCTGTGTACATATATTGTTTCCTTGTATTCTTTCTCTACTGTCATTTGTGTCAAACGTTGATCAACGCGTCGGAGGAATTTGAGAATGCAGTATACAGTTGTGGTTGGGAGAAGTTTGACCTGAAAGAGCAGAAGACGATATATGTGATGTTGTTACAAGCTCAAAAGCCTGTGACGCTTTTGGCGGCGGATATCGTACCAGTTAATATTTACACTTTCGCAACGACTATGCAAGCTATGTTTAAATTTATAACCGTTTTTAAATTTTGAGCAACTAAAAAGAATTCTCTACAAAAATGTCTTATTACTTTGGAAACAGTTGATTAAATGCAATGCACTTCATACTATTCCCTTTTTAAGCATTAAGCACAATAAATAATAAAAAGTTTATTCACTGATTGTTTTATTCTTTTTCATTTAACAACTTATATTACTTATATGATTTATACTATTTATAAATCGTATGCTCTCTCCTATCCTTGATCATCATTATACATTGAAAGTGAATTATAAAATACATTTGCCGGATCTTCATTCCAGTATCTTGTGAGATAACTGTTAAGCAATTGTGCTTATAGATTTCGTGTAGGTAATTCGCACTGCACTTAGTAGAGCACAACAGATGACTGCAATTATAGGAAGTCTCAAGTCTATATAATATTTTATAGAATTACGTCATCTAAAATGGATTTGAAGCCAATAAAATAAACAAATAAGTTCACTATGCTCAAATTTTTCATGATAATGCATTCGATTTTTTTTTATTTGTGGGTAGTTAATAAAATAAGGTAAGAATATTGACATCAGAGTAAAAGAAATGATTTCTTTTCGATCCAATAAGAAGAAGGTTAAAGGTTTGTTAAGGTATTTTATCGTGAGTTTACATTTACTTGACTATTTTGCAATATATCGTTGTATAATTTAAACTATTTACATTTTTTATGGATACTTAATGCAACGCGGTTGACCCGGCACCTACACGGTGAATCCATTGAAAGCTAAGAGGTTGGTTCTCTATTTTATATAACTTAATATAAGAGTTACTTATTAAAAAAGTGTTTATGAAATGAAATATTTGTATTGGTTATACAGTTAGTGTTATTAGTATTGCCGTTTGTTTAAATTCAACTTAAGTTCTGCATTGAAAGATGACGAACGACCTTCAATCTACAAAGTATTTTAATTCAACTTTCAAAGGTTTTATTGAATGGATAGAATCGTCTGGGACACTTTTTGAAGACGTATTTTAAGATGACTTAATAATTATTTGTATCTGTGAACTTTTTAGATGTTTAGATTGATAACACTAAACTCCTCTTTCCCTTTTCGCTGATGTTCTTGTTACTTTCCCTTCTTAATTTAAATAATCTCTGAGAAGACAAAAACATAGAATAATATCTGCAGTTTACATAATGGACAGGAGTACATAACTAAAATAAAATTTGGAATTCTTACAACTGAAAATATATATATTTTTAATTAAATACCTAATAAAAACAAAAACAATATGTTAGATTATCAGCCGAAAATGCGTTATGTAATTTAAACCTTCTCTTTGAGTCTCTAAGGTTCTTTTTATTTTCTTAACCAATCTCTACATTTACTTGTACGTCTTGCTCGGTCAGTTTCACTTGAAATACCGTACAAAGCGGGCAAGTCTGCTGCTTCTTAATAATCATCGATTTATAATATTTTCATATTAGTTGTATAAAGATTCTAATGTATTTTTTGTGAAATAAAATTAGAATGAACTAAGTTTTAGTTTATATTAGGTTTCTTAATTGTTATGTAGTGTTTGGAAAATGAAGCTTTTATATTTTGTTTTGTTTATCATTTCAAACTTGCGTATAAACCCTCAAGCATCATTGGATAGTTTTTTGCCCACCAACAACCAAGTTTTGCTAGCAGACACAACCAAAAGTTCAGGTAAGTAGTTAATAATAAATCTTGAATTAAATTATAAGGATAAGAGACCGTAATAATTTATTCTAGTCAGGTTTTATAAATATAATTAGACGTATATATAATATTATCAATAAAATATCCTTTATAAAAAATGAAACCAGTTCTAAGACCAAGTGTTCTATGGACATTGGACGTTAATTACTGGCGTGTTATAAATATCATTTAATAATTTTTTTTCCATTGGAATGCTAGTAATTACCAACACATGTTTTTTTGCTCAGCAGTTCTTTTGCAACTATAGCTTCATTTAAATAATATAATGGTCTAGTGAATTAAATATAACATTTGAATGCAACGTAATTAGAGTTTCACAATAGAAGTATATTTCAGACAAATCTTGCAGTCGGCCTTGCAAATTTAATGTTAAGCCTCGACGTTGTGAATATGATTTCGTAATACGTCCAATCTTGGATGAAGAGGGAAGGCCAAGTCTGACCATCAATGATCAAAGCCCGGGTCCGGCTGTTCATGTGTGTATGAATGATGTAGTGGTGGTCAAAGTAAAGAACGAAATCCCGAATCAGGATGTAACTCTCCACTGGCACGGGATTGAACAGAAAGGAACCCCGTATATGGATGGTGTGCCCATGATAACGCAATGTCCCATTTCCTATGGATCCATTTATCAATACTCATTTATTGCATCTTCTCCTGGCACTTTCTTCTATCATGCTGATTCAGGTAAGCATATTGAAAACAAGCAGATAATGCTTCATTTGAAACTGTTTGAGACTTCTACTGCAATATATTTTTCAAACAAAATATGAGAATGTGAGTTAGAAATATGATATAGCTGACACCTCAAGGTTGCGAGGTACAACCGTAAAGGTCAAATGGAATCTTTATATTTAATAACTAAATGCAAAAATCTAATATTATTATGTACTGGCTTTAGTAAAGATATAATTATAGGCATTTCTCTTCCAGTGGTACATCAGAGTGATGGAATATACGGAAGTCTTATTGTGGATCAGCCGCAGCCTCTCGAGCCTAATGGTGCTCTATACGATTACGACCGGAGCAAAGAACACACATTCTTGATAGCCGCTAGATTTTCTGAACTATTGACCTCAAGACTAGAGGATAAAAGCGAAATTCGGCCCGAGAGTCTGGTAATCAATGGTGATAATTTTACTCCTAAGTAAGTTCAGACAAGTTATTGCTTTAAACTATTCACTTATCTTGATTGTATAACTAAATTATATTTTTTATTACATTGGTGTAATGCCAAAAAATTGGGTAAATAGGTTTATCTTTACGTACATAAGATGTAGCTATTTGGAATTGTTTCAAATTAATTTATACCTAGAAACGGAGTAAATTGAATTGGGATTTTTAACGTCATTACTTTCGTCTTTGAGAAGTATACGTTTTAAAAATTTCTGAAGACATTCAGATATTTTTATTCGGAACATATCGGATAAGTTTAGTACAGTAAAGATGCGATTAATGTCAAATATCAAAACAAGCAACACTCTTATGAGTCAGTAATAATTGCTTATGAATAGGAATAACAAAAACCTCTATAAACAAATAATTTAAATATGAAAATCCGATTGTGTTACACAACGATCTGTAAACATACGTACATAAAGAGAGCAAGGAAAACATTATGACCCCGACTGAGTCATATAATTATTTAAATATTTCTGTTGAAGTTCATGGACAGAGTTGGAAGTCGAGCGAGGATAGTAAGCGATAAAAATCGCAGTATATTTTTAATTTATTAATCAATAAAAGGTGAAAATCGATGCATGTTTCATCTTCATATAAATAAGCAATAGTATGAAATACGAAGTAATTACAAATGGTTTTTTAAATATCTCATATTATAACTAGCTCTCTGATTACTTCCAGGATTTACGTGATGACGGGATACTCATACCGGTTGCGTTTTATTAACGCAATCGCCTTAGAATGTCCAATCGTTGTAAATGTACAGCGGCATGCGATGGTGGTTATTGCGACTGATAGCAATCCTGTTAAACCAGTGACCAACGGAGCCTTCAGACTCTATCCAGGTAAAGGATTAACCAGGTTAAGTTGAGTATTATCGTTTGTAAAACTGCGCAATCAAGCATAAACAGGTTTTTTCATTATGGACATATTATTTTTTCATTAAGGATATGTTATATACACGAGGGAAATCATAATAAATGAAATGAAAATGAAATTTTGTAATAATTCCACTACAAAATATTTGTTTTATTAGATTTTGTTTCCAATTATTTGTACATTGAGTTTTGTATTAATAGAAATTTTCTTTTTGGGGGAGTCAGTATTTTATATTGTCACATAAAAAGGTAAAATGGTTCAAAGTAATAAAGCGTAAAAATAAGTTATTTTGAAAGTTCTATTTATGCTTCTATTTCTTTTTCTTTCTTTTCACTTACTTCATACCTGACAGTATGCAAAATAATTATTATTCCATACATATGTTTATAAAAAAGTAATTTCACTTGAAAGATAAAACCATAAGTGCTGTCACGCGAGCGGAGAAAGGACCGCGCCATTTCGGAGTTTAAGGCCACCGAACCGGTTCCGCCATTTTCATTTCACTTTCTAAGTAATTACGATATGAATAATTTTCTTGGATAACATCATACGAAGAAGTATTCCTATGTTATTTTGGTAATCTATCCTACGCGACAAAGGGGTTGGTTTGTGAAGAAACAATATATTTCATACATAATCTACACATATGTATTAGCAATGTTTTTCATTTATTGTAAGCCTAATTAATCCGTATTTATTTAAAATCCTAGTCGTTCTATTAGGATTACTAAATAATTGGTTTTATAAGGTGAGCTAAGATGATCTTAGGACTTTCTTGCTTCACAAATCATTGCGTAAATGAAAGTTGCCCGATGAAAGTGCTGGTTTATTATAAACTGTATGTACTTGCTTTTCTCAAAGATTAAACGAACTTCCTATCAATTTAAATAATACGTTCAGTTCATTTCCATTTTATCTGCTTTCTAAAGGTTTACTTTTGCTTTATTGCTACATATATAACTAGTGCCTAGTATATAAGCATTTTTATTGCCCGTTTTATAATAAAATTCTGTGAACATTAGCATAATGTATTTGTTGTTGTATCATGTTAAACATTTTTCGTTTATACATATGTACTAAATATCAAAGGGTCACAGTGTAGACTGGAGACCTTCAACTTTTGACCCATTTGGCTGGAGTTTGCTGGCCGTTTAGTGAACTTTTGGTAATATTAAGTATATTTATGCTTTTCTTCCAACGATAGCTAGCTAAAAAATGGAGACATTATTTTCAAGAATTGCTTATTATACTATAAATTGATTCTTATATATCTGCCAAAAGCATCGTTTCGTATGTATTTAAACTGGCTATTTTTATATATGTACATAATAAATTTGAATATCTTTTTTAATGGTATCATGTAATTAAAGTTCCGAACAATAGTATCCAGCGTAGTTAGTGAATGTAAATGTAATCTCCGTAGATTGTATGTCAGTAATACAAAGTTTCTTTTTCAAACAAAGAAATGAAATGAATTGGAGTTTAAATTAAAATCACATCAGCACAGCAGCTCATTTCATCAGAGTGGGAAGTGATTTGATTCCGATTACAACGATGTAATGTTGTAATCTATTCTAATGTAAATTAAAATGATATTTACAATGTCATTGTGTATGGTATTTTGAAATTAGTATCCCTAGTTATTCAACGTATACTTTTTTTTGGCATATTACGCGACAGCAAATCAATTTGTATATTTTTTATATATATTTGATATAGTCAGCACTTTGGTGTGAAATAACATGTGATCTGCTTATGTAATATGTTTTGAGTTAAGTGTTAGTAATAAATTTTTATTACATTTCAGGAGAGCGAGTAGATGTTGTACTGCGAGCGGACCAGCCTAGCGGTGGTTTTTGGATGCAAATTTCAGGGGAAGGTGCTTGTGAGACACTTAAAACGCATATTATGCTTATTTACTCAGGCTTTAATTACACTTCAATGTTGGAACAAGGACCGGTAAATGTCATTATATGTATATTTTTATTCATTTACCTTCATAAATAACATTAAATAATACAGAATAATGATTCTTATCATCAACATTATTATTTAATAGAATATCAAATATTTTTTACCCCACCAGAATGCTGAGTCGGAGATCGGTACCTTCATCGAAAGTGAAAAATATTTGTCACTTAAAGATTCTCAAGTTCCACCTAAAGCTAAATCTATATACTTACGTATTGACAGGAATAGTTTTGATGTCAAAGACAGTGATTTAGATTTCCGTTATCGAAGTGACGCTATGAAGAAGAAACCTTTCTACCCTGCGGCGTTATGTAAGTTAATGACAAGATGCTCTAGACTGAATAGAATTCTAATATAATAGTTGTATATTGAAGAATATTCTGATATTGATATCATTGAATATGATCATTTTGGTGGAGAACAAATTTTGGTTGTACAAAAAAAATAGCATAGTAATTGGCTTGGTATATACAGTTTAATTTTGTGTTTTATTGTCTATTATTTATTGTCCATATTAAAAACTTATCTTTGAAAACAAATTATAATCGTAATCGTATAATTCTTGTCTTCATTTTCAGCTCTCCATGACGGTGTTGTACAAATCAACGGTAAAAACTTCCTTTATCCAAACGCCGTATATCTATTAAAGCCTCGTGAAGTGCGTCCTGATATATTTTGTTATGTTGAGGAGGAACAGAAACACAAGGAGCCTCAATGCCTGCAAGTTTTAAAAGCTGAAATTAATGAACCAATAGAGCTACTATTGGCTAACGAAGGTACATCTTTTATTTAAAGTGAATATAGAATGTACAGAACGAAATATAGAAATAAATATGTATTACATTTTTTATAATTTCAGGTTTCGGTAGTAACAATTCCTACACATTCCACATGCACGGCTACAGTATGCAGATTATTTCAACATGGCGAAATCCCTCCAAAAAACCATTTACTAGAGAAGAGTTTATGAAATTAGACGAAAATAATTTGATTGTGAGGTACGTAGAAGTAACAAAAATTTATTAATTTTATATTTCTAATAATGTTATTGAATTTTGTTGATCTTGATCTATAATTTTGATTACAATTTTTTCAGAAACTACGTGAATCCGCCAGTAAAAAATACCATACATGTTCCTAATAAGGGCTTGACTGTCGTACGTTTCACTCCCACTTTCGGTGGAAGCTGGCTCTTGGAATGCAGATCTTGTTCCCTTTCAATACCTGTCGCGTTGCTCGTTAGTGTCCCCCTGTCGATACCAAAGTCGGTAATTGAATCTTTGCCAGGCTGTGGAAGTTACCGGCCCGCGGACGCGTTGCTGAATTGATCGAATATTAAGTTTTAGAGACGAATTATATTATCAAAGAAACTAATGGTCCTATTAAAATAATTGCAATGTTAATTTTATGTGTAAAAACTTGGATTAGTCGTTCTTTTTGTCTTTAACTTTGAAAGTTAAAGAGAATTTAAAAATACAAAGCATTTTATTTTTGTCACGACTTTATTTAATATTTTAATTCCGAAGAATGTATGAGACTGAATTTGAAATAGATGCAAAAGTTTTAATAGGACGAGATATATTTTAAAAATAAAGGTGTTATAAATATGTTATAATTGTAGATAATAATTGTAAATAATATAAATTTATATATAGTTCATACAAAAGTAATTTTGAATAAGTTTAGGTTGAGTGTGATAAAATGTAAATATTTTACTTAGATCTACTTATTTATTTATAAATATTAGATATTACACAAATTTTATATTATTTTTACTAAGATATTAGAATTTTCATTATATTGGAATTAATAACTGACAATAATAAATATTTTGATATATATTAAATATATGGATGGATAAAAAATTAGGCATTTAATTGTTAAAGAACAATATATGTAAGTTGTCAGTTATGTTCATTTTATTTTGAATAACTTTGCGTTAAAATACTCATAAATGTAAAGCCAGTAAGGATATTAGCATTGACACCTAGTTTAGACATAAAATGGTTGTTTTAAAAGATCTGAAAGAAATATATGTTTTTTTCTGATCTGTAAATTTAGATATTGTTTTTGTTGAACACTGAGATTAGTATTTGTTATTTTTTCTATTATAAAAATAATATGGTTTGTAGATTTTGAAATATTGCGAACAATAAGGGATGTTTATTGATACATATTGTGAATCTAAAGTGTTTTGCATATCATGCTAAGATATATGTACACGGTACAATAGTATGATTATTTATAGAAATGAAAAACACTTGTTAATATATGGTTGTTATACTACAAAATACATTAATTGTATATACAGTGAGTGCATTTAAAATTTGTTCTTCTTATCATTAAATTAATGGATAAATATATTTAAACATTTGAAACATTGTTGTGTAAGGGAATGAGAAATTAAATATTGGCAAATAAAAATTGTTGATTGATATATGATATTTAATTTTGTTTTAAAACCAGAGAACGTACGTATAAAAATATTTCTAGGTTGTTGTTTGTTTATAATATTTACTTTTATAATCCAAATCCTTATCTAATTTCCGAGTATAATTGATGTTGATGGAAAAAAATTACATACTTGGCCTACTCCGTTATTATAATCACCCGTACAGATAAATGTTGTTCAGTTTTATCTCATTTCAGACAGGAGTACACAGCCCACGTGCATGTGCACTTTTAATTATATATTTGATTCTCTCAATATATTAAGGAACTTTATTTTCCACATGAAAATTCTTATTAAAAATGTTCGAACCACAGAAATATTAATCTCATGTTTAAATAATGTTTCTCTCTAAGAAGCAAATAATTGAATTAAAAAACGTCATATAGTCTATTGTATATTATATAAGCTAGACTACAGTATACATAAGAAAATAAAACCCTTATCATGAGAGTCGAACTCAAAACTCAAAACCATATAACTTTATTCAATATACATACATAGAAGCATTACAATTTCTTATTGATGGTCACTTGAGACACTACCACCGGTTCGGAAAAGAAAATACCCTGACCTGAGAAGAACCGGCGAAAGACACTCGTTGTTATTTTAAAATTTTACTTTTTCCGTGTCTCTTATCATTATATGTAGAATTAAAAATTTTAACTGCAGCACAATAAAACACTGTCTATATCTATTTATGTAAATTTCAAACCGAGACACTTAAAATGTTTTGTAAGGTTTATATTTATTAAAAATACAAAATTAACATCGGAGTTACTAACCACTGATACCTTAGTATGGTCGAAGCATCAAATATGTTATAAAAGCAAAAGCCGAAAACATGATAGCATAGCATATAGCATACACCATGGAGCATAATTGGGGAATCATTTTCCTATTGATCATTAGTTTCACAAGATTAAATGGTGGGAATAATATACATATAAATAAATATACTTTTGTTTTAAATATTAATATTAAAAACTATCATAGCAGCATCAAGTATTTCTGGCAGCAGCAGGATCGTTGGTGGCCATGAATCCAAACCGTACAACCACCCATATCTGGTGACCCTCCAATTGAGATTCTTGTGGATGAGAATGCATATCTGCGGTGGAAGCATTATAAATGAGAAATGGGTAAGTTTTGAAATTATCTTTATAGGAGCTTGTTGAAATTAAAATATTTCTTTTTGCGTAACGAGAAGAGATAAAGGGTGATTTGTTATTAAAGACGTTGGTTTGAATAAAACGTAATTTGTATGAGAGTAAATTCGAAATTTCTAATATCTTAAATTGTTATATGATATTTTTTACTTTGGATATACTGATTTAATGTAATATTACCTATTAGTTTTTTAATTTGCTTAATCATAAAATTGATGTTATGTGATCATTACATTTTGTAAACAAAACAATGTTTTGTTTTTTATTTAAAAAGATACAACAGTAAATAAAATTTTAGAACGAAAAATACTCTTTGTCATTGATGAGTTTATCAGAAATATTAATATAAAGAAAAAATATATATGTTTTGTAGGTCTTAACTGCAGCACACTGCGTGCAAGGTTCGTGGTTAATGAGATGGCTCCCGATGGATGCTGTGGCCGGTGTTCATAATATAAATAGATTTGGAAAAGAGGCACAGATTAATACGATCGACCAACGCATTCCACATCCGTTATATGAAGGGTATTTAAAAAATATAAATATATACGGTGGAATTACATTATTTAATAATACATAATTGTTAATGCTATTATCTCATTTATTATATGCTATAATATAATTATATTTGAGACTGTTCAACTTTGTCGAATCATAATTCAATTGTTATTACTCTGTCTGTTTGTTTCGATGTTTCGATACTTTTTAGAGGTATCGGTGGATATGACATCGCTCTGCTCGGTTTGCGTACGCCATTCGTATTCACCGATCAAGTCCAGCCAATCAATCTTCCTTACACTTCTAAAATTTCAAACGAATCTCTTCTTCTCGTCGGATGGGGAGCTTTGAGGACAACAAACTTCATACCTGACCTACCAGACGAATTACAAGAAGTCAAAGTGACGTATATCCCGTACCAACGTTAGTTTATTGCAAATTTAAAAAACTATTTTCTTTACTGCTTATTATGAATTGATAGTATACATCGAAGAAAATTAAGCTAAAGTTAATGTCTCTTTACATCATTCATATAAACAAACCTCTTAAATCAAAATAAAATTCATTATATTATAAATCAGAAACAGTTCAGATTGACTGTATTTGGTATTATAAATTTTCAGAATGTTACGACGCTATTGAAGAAATAAAGGAAACTACTGAAAATAATCCTCTCGATAAAGAAGCTCATTTATGTACTGGGCCCCTAACTGGAGGCATCGCAGCTTGTAGTGGAGATTCAGGTGGCCCTCTGGTACAAATGACTTCCTTAGAAGCCTTGAATAATAGAGAGGAAAAGGATAATGATTATGATGAATACTATAATGACAAAAGGCTGATTAGAAGTGAAAAAGTAGTGCCAGATATAAGTCGTGAACAAGTGCCTTTTATTATTGGGATTGTGTCTTGGGGTATGGCTCCTTGTGGATCTAAAGGAGCTCCAACGGTTTACACAAATGTATCACAATATATGGATTTCATTAACGCACATATTAAAACGTAATTAATAGTTTTTTATGATTTATAACAAAAGTCTTTATAATTATTAAATAATAATTATGTACATTATGTTTTATTTCACATTTTCTCTTTTTATATATCTATAATTTTTTTATGTTTCGGACAATATGGGGTTGAAAATATTATACATGTTAAAATATTTATGTATACGTTTGTATATGAAACATTTTAATTAATAAGACACGACTCACTGCACTTTGTGTAACACGTTTTAATTTAAACTAAATTATTCGTTGAAACAAACTCTTTTTAATGACAATGTCTTTTTTAAGACTTGAAATATTTCTGTTACAAAAATATATTCACAAAAATGTTTGTTTAAAATATATATTATATATTTAATTTTTATGTGGTGATGAAAGTAAGTATCATGCCAAGTAAAATTCGAATAAAATTAAACGAAATATCAAGTAGTAATTAAATTTATTGGTGCATTTTTTTCCAATAAGGTGAAAATTTAATACATACTTCTGTGGGAAGTAATGTTTAAGATTTAAAACCCAAAAAAAAAACTTATTATGTTCCTATGTAATTCAACAATTTACTACTTCTATGATTCACAAGGTTGTAGTTTCACAAAGTTCATATTATAGTTTTACAACAGTTACAAATTTGAACATAGCCTGGATTGTTGTTGCGAAAGTTGAAATATTGACTGGAATAATATCCGCAGCCAAAAGCGTTACAGGCTTTTGAGCTTGCAACAACATTACATATATCGTCTTCTGCTCTTTCAGGTCAAACTTCTCCCAACCACAACTGTATACTGCATTCTCAAAAACCTCCGAAGCGTTAATCAATCTTTGACATAGGTAACAATATAGAAAAAAGACAAGAAAGCAATATATAAGTACTGGAGAGAATGTTATCCACTCCCGCAAAGGAAGATAGAAAAACAAACAAATACAAACAGCATTCGATCCAAAATTAACTCCCATCGGCATACTGTATAGTGCTTTTAAGTTTTTTATAATATCCAGGGTTAGCGCATGGCGAGATATTAAAAGTGGTAATCGATTTTTCACAATTATGCTATTTTCTGGAGTGCTTGCATACTTATCAAATGACAACATTTCTTCCGATAGCATACGGTACATTGCCGCTGTGTGTGCAATCAAAAATAACAAAAGAGTTTGGTAATTGAGAACTGCAGTCATTATCGTCACCTCTTGGAGTGCAAGGATTAGTCTGCAAATTTGTCTATTTGGTGTAGCCGTAAGAGGCTCCAGACCTAGGAAATAAAATGTTAAAATCTATACTTCAATTATAGATATAATGAGATGTTATAATAAAATTAAATTACCAACGCAAGAAGTCATAGAATAATGATTATTGTTGACGTCACTGCGGTGCGGTATATATATGAAGAATGCATCAAATAGGTTGAATCCGTAAAATATGTATATGATCTTCTTTATTACAGATAGCAGCTTCTCGTGTTTATCTTGCAATAATTTTGTCTCCTTAGCAAGACTGTCGTTTTTGATCACCTGCTTTAGAACTGTTCTCAAGAGAGGTCTAAAAAAGGCAATAATATATAGCAACTCTTTATTATAATGAGATCTAAGATTTTCGCGAGCAGACGGTATGTGATCTGCCCGTGATCACGGTTGCTGTAAGGTAGCCGAAACGTCGGGAGTATGTAGTTTATAGTCAAAAATAAAAAATCGCGTAGTAAGTCGGAAAATATATGTTTAATTAAAATTCTATATTATCTTTAGATTTGTTTCACTTCTATTCTTGAAGAAAAAAAATTCCAAAATTAATTTGTACCTGGACATCTAGCTCGGAATATTAAATACAATTTACAAATCAGGTTATTTTTTAGTTTCTTACGTCTCTAAGATACTGAGTTTTAAGTAGTTTTGATTTTATGAAAGTATTTAGATAAGAATGTTTTATATATTTATAAGTTTTTATTGTTTAATTACCTTTCTTTGATATACCAGTAACTATTGTTAACGATCAATATTATAAGAGTGATGTTAACGTAACTTTTGATAAAATCTCGGGTACTTGAAGCAATACGCAATTGGTACATGACAGTTCCAGCCCCATACACATACACCAGTAGAGAAAAATGTAAAATCCAAAAGGGTGCTGCAACATAAAAAGAAATTATAATTATTCATAAAAAATATGGAATAGCAATGACATATATATAGTCGTGGTTGCCTAGTAGTTAAAGGCCAGGCCTTTCATTTATTATGGCGCGGGTTCGATCGTGGCAAGTACCAATGTGATTTTTCCGAGTCATATGTACTTCCTAAGAGTATTTAGACACCACTGACAGATGGTAAAGGAAAATACCGCGGGGAAACTAAGACTTATAATTTCCAATTATAAGTTTGAAACTGCAAACCCGTCTTGAGCAAGCGTGGTAATTCAAATCTTCTCTAATCTTCTCCATGTGTGAAGAGGCCTTTGCTCAGCAGTGGGCTTGGATAGGTTTATGAGAATGAGAAAGAACGTACCAGAGATTTTATCCTTTAAAATAGAAAAACCCGCTCTTGAAGGAACTAAGTTTACGATCCATATGATGCTATCAATGCTGTTGTCTTTGAGACGATAATTGAGATATGTTATATAATTAGTAATACTCTCAATTAGCTTCATCTCTAATAGAAGGATATGTTTGGATGAATTACCCTCACGATAGTTCTCTAGGATAGACCTCTTTATACGAGGATATAGAATAAAGTGACTGTATAAGAATGTAAACTCAAATAAGTAACAAATCAATTTGATGTGTGAACGTTATCATTAATATAAATTAGCTCTCACATAAAAATTTCAAGAGCCGAATTATATACGTATATATTTTTTATTACGCTTGGACTAAACGTAATTAATGGTGAAAAATTTAATAGACCAGAGAAAATATATATAAAATATTCTTTTACATTCAGACGTGAATTAAAGTCTGAAGCTGTATATGTTTGGAATCCTTCGTACTAAAAATATTTTAGAGGGAGTTATATTAGTTATACATATATCACTCGCTATGCGATGTTAATTTTTTTTTTTTTATGTAGCGCGTACGTTACAAGAGCGATTCTTGTATGTATATTCATAGGATAATATGTATCTTAGTCTCCAATATTATTATTTGACATAGCAAGATAAAAAATCTTTTGTGACGATAAAAATTAGGATATTTTTACACACATATTATATTATCTGATTCAAAGGAGTTTAGAGCAACAACAAATAAATATTTATAAGATAAAAGAGGAATCTTTGTACCGAGTGCTTTGTTAATCTGTTCTTTTTTAAGGTTTAACAATATAATTAGGTATTTATAAGTTACAGAATGCTTGAATGTGAAGACTTCTAGATATGTTTTGGAGAGTTTTAAGCGTATGAGCTATGCGGTTTATTAACCCCTAATTGGATGCATCTTTAGGTAACTAACTAATTATTTAAAATAATGTAAGCCTTGGTATTTAACAGTATTTTATCGACATTAATATAAAAATATAAATGTTTCTGTTGAACAAATAAATGAAGCCTTGTAGAAATCCACAGAATTTCTTATATTTCGTGTCATTTATAATAATAGGTCTTTACTAAGAATAACATGTTATTAAACTTATCATCAGCTACGATAGTATAAAATTCTACACAATTAATCTTCGAGACCCATAATTCATAAGTCTGAGACACGCCTGTTCAAATGATTAAAGATAATGTTTTGAACGAAATGTTTTTTTATAACTACTTTTTTTTTTATTCTTGCAATATTAAAAAAGGTATTATTTAAATACCCATATGATATAACAGATTAAGATTTAAAATATTGTAAAATCAGTATTTGACAAATAAAAACAAACATGATTCTTAAATTTTTATTGTTGACTTTTTACAAAATGTATAAATTTAGCCTTAAAACTTATTTAGCAAAGATAATACTTACAACGCAGTATAAAAAGAATATGACAGCTGAAAAAAAGGAATAAAATACAAGTGGCATACCAACCACAGACGTAAGTTTTATAATTAAAACATTACACTGTGTCAAAATGTTAGTAAGAACACTCCTGACAATAATGTCGATTTAAGTGAGAAGTATGAAATATAAAAAGAACAAAACCATTGAATAGCTTAATATTAAATATTCTTAATGTTCTGAAATATGTGTAGTAATAAATATCGACGTTATTCTTTACTTTTATGTTAATTTACACCTAAAATTACTAATAATATTAATTAAATTCTTTACGTTATCAGTCTATATTTCATACATCTTACTTAAGTCGACTCAAACCAACATACAACAGTTTTGTAGTGTATAGATATTGGAATTTAAATAATAAGTTTGAAAAAACTGTAATCAGGGCTACAATCTCAAATCATAAGATGACTTGTTAAATACGAAGGCTATTTAAATATTCTTTTTATAGTTATACAACAAAAATAAAAATAGGACTTGGTTTGACATAAAAATTATAGAATATTAAATGAGAAGTCGTAAAACAAACCAAATGATACAACTGTAATAAATGTTGATCACTCTCGGAATTTTATGTTCCTAACTCTGTTCACGAATACGAATACGAATACGCAATGAATTTTAATAATATGAAATAAATGAAATAACGATAACATATGGATTCTGAATTGTATACAAATTATGACTATAATCACTAGTTTACGTTTCTCTAGCTTTCTTAACTATGTATTTATTTACAATTCTAAAACAAGCAACATATAGATTGAGGTAAATATTTTTTTATGAAAAATTTATCTTTAAAACCATAAATTATATTAATTTTTTATATCTCCTATAATCGTTTAAAACTGCAAAATTTATCAAAGAAATAAAAAAAATACATTAGAAAAATAAGAATATGAATCAGTACAAAAACGACATTTATACCTTATTACTTTGGTTTACTAGTTTAAGAAGCAACAAGAATGTATATACATCAAATATAATTTAAGCATGCGTACTTTTTTCATATTTTTGACGACATTAAAATATGGCAGTACGCGTGAGATGTTAAACTCGGCAGGTTAAATACCTATAAGAGATCTATGCGTCTCTGGACTACGTATCCTTTAGTGTATTGGGTAGTAAGGGGGTGTTATAGATGGTAGATGGTGGCCACATCTCGGGAAGTTAGGTGGAACAGGTGGTAGGTCTCTTTGCGTTCCGATGTGCAGAATAAGATTCATACCGATGACAATATGATAGATGAAATGACAGTGGAATAGCCAGTAGCCTGAAAAATAAGAAACAAAATATAAATGTTTGTAAATTATACTATCCAAGAATTTACGTTGAAATTCAAGAAAACTCTTACCTGGATTGTCAGCCTTTAGCCTCAATACTACGTATCCGTTATTAGGAACGGCTATAGTATCTTTATACGGTGGTAAGTTGTACTGTCTATTTAAAAGACCCTTCCTATCGAGGTCCAGCGCGTGTTTTAAGTTTATTTTCTTTATATTTTTATCAGGCGATCGACCCATTCCAATAACGTTGTATGAAGTCCCATGTAAATGGAAGGGATGTGATAAATTCGGGGATTGCACTGTAATAAATGTTGACTATGTTAGATTAAATTTCTTTTAAACCCTACGAATATATATTTATTGCTATGTTAATGTAGCTGTGAATTAGAAATCTGAAAGCAATTTTTACCTTCATCGACTAGAACGATCTCTACAATGGAATTCAAAGGCACATCTATCATATGTGTGCATTTGCAGTCGACCGAACAATCGGCTGGTCGGTTGTCTCCGTTGCAGAAAAGTTCCGGCGGTAGTTCGTGCATCTGTGAGAGAGGGGGCGCTGGTGGGGCGCTGTATGAGATCTCATCGATTAAACTGAGGACATGATCTCCTCCGTAGGCCACTGGAATTATTTGAAAACTTGTATTTACTTACCAAAATTAACTTTATATATAAATAAAACTGATTCCCTTAGAAGCTATTATTATAAAATGAAAAAAGCTTTCGAAAAAGGATCATTTAAATAGTCGAATTTATAATCAAGCACTCGTACCTAAATAATTCTTGTAGGTGTTTTCGATGAAAAGATCTTTAGGTTTATAGAAGTGAAATCTGAACGGCAGAAATATCTTGATATCTGGCCGTTCTTGTAAGATTCCTTTATCGACCTCCTTAGCTGACTTAAGGTTACTGACGCACACAGCGTCGTTGCGTTTCACGTCACACATAGCATCCAAAGGATTCATAACCTGAAAAACAACGTGACTTATATTTAATAAAAATATTGTACAGTTTGTTATCACATCGCATTTTATAAAACAAATCAGATAATATTATACAACCTGCTATAACTCGTGCAATATCCACACTATCAGTTCACAGTACCTTGTTGAGGATTTGGAAACTTTGATGAAATACACTAACTACAAGTGCTTCAATCAACTACAATACTACAGTGCATGTCATTTACACTTCATATAAAACAGATATGATTGTGTATCGGCAGAGGAAAATCTGCAGTTAATGTATGTATGTGGTATTTGTAAAAAATTTGATTTTCTTAATATGATAGGTTGTAATAAAATATACTATTTTAAATAAATTTTATTAAGTGGTACAAAAAAATTTACAAATTTTCTTAGGAGTAGGTAAATACGAAAATTCTGCATGTATATTCGTCTTAAAATTAAAATATTATAAATTTTATATTTACTCTCCACTCAAAGAAATATATTTCGATAATTGATTCGATATTTCCAATTCGGTTCTTAAATTAATATGGTAACGTGTCTGGTAACGATTATTATTAACCATTGAAGGTTGTATATATTAATATGGTTGTAAACAGTCTTCATCGTTTAGGGCGTGGGATCTGTCTTAGAAACTCATTTTACGTGTATTTACAAGTATTGCAGATTCTATATATATTTACAATTTTAAAATGTTCTTGTTTCATGCAATTATGTGTTGGGAAACCGAGGAAGGACCTTAAATATCTAAATATATGTATGTATGTGTATGTGTATATATAATACATAATATAATAAGGGCAACCGACAAACATGAGCGAATATTTACTGGTTTCATTAATATGTCATGCAATTAAAAGGAATCCAGTTGATAATTTCCAAAAATTTCTGTACACTAATAGCTCAATTGTTGGCAGTGGCTCTATTGTCGGCGCCACCGATATAAAATATATACATGCAATAAATAACTTTCATGAAAATATTAAATGGCAAGTACTTAGTTAGAACGGACGCGTTCGTAATAAAACGTAAAAATTGTACAAAAATATGTTGATATACAAGTAAGAGCCTCAACTTTGCGATATTATAGGTGATACAAAATAATAAGCTGGTATCACCAAAATAAGCGTAAGATTAAATCGAAATTCACTCAAAAATATCACCTTTAAATAAAATCACAAACCAGCATGAACTTCAATTGAAACATTCGAATACAAAGAAACACAAAGGGCAGAGTCGAGCACTTCGAATCTACCGACACATCACACAAAACAAACATAAAATTACACATAGTTAACATAAAAATTAATTGTTATACCAATTGTTGCACTTGCGTAAATTATTATGTTTTAGGAACCGGTTTAGTTGATAGGTGGAAGATGGTCTCCGCAAGTTGGGAAGTTAGGAGGTACTGGAGGAAGGTCTGCGTGTGTGCCCACTTGTAGGACAACATTCATTCCAATGACGATGTGGAATAAAAAGTGGCAATGGAGTAGCCAGAAACCGGGATTGGTAGCTCTGAATCGCAAAATAACGTATCCATTGTTTGGTACAGCGATGGTATCTTTTGCTGGTGGGAGATCCCCTTGTTTTAGGTGACGCTCGAGCAAACCTCTTCTATCTAAATCGAGAGCGTGCTTCAAGTTAATCTTTTTAACGTTCTGGTCTGGTGATCGGCCGATACCGATAACGTTGTAAGCATATCCATGCAAGTGGAACGGATGAGATAAGTTGGCAATTTGTACTGCAAAAAAGAGATAATTATTAGCATATAAATTAGACACGAAAGAAAAGATTGCATGAATAATTATGCAATGTACCTTCATCTACCAATACAATCTCTACTATGGCGTTAAGAGGAATATCGACTTTGTGTGTGCACATGCAGTTTTGTCCACAATCTGCCGGTCGGTTATCGCCGTTACAGAATTGATCTGGGTTAATGTCGTCATATTGACTTATAAGAGGTGCTGGCGGGGCCATGTATGAGATTTCATCGATTAAACTAATCACGTGGTCCCCTTGTGGTGCAACTGAAAAACACATATAATTTGATTTTATCGCTAACCTGTCGTATTATATTTTTTTGATACAAAAAAGTAATAACTCTTACCTAAATATCTATTGTAGGTATTAGGTTGGAACAACATTTCTGGTCTATAAACGAAGAAACGGAAAGGCAAGAATATTTTCACATCAGGTCTTGGCTGTAGAATAGCGGGATCGATGTGTCGTGCATTTTTCAGTTGGCTGACGCAAATTGCGTCATTTCTGGGAATATTACATCTCGCATCCAAGGGGTTCATGACCTGAATAGTTAGTGAGGAAAAAGGTACGTGCAATTACTAAAATTACGTGCAATAACTACTTCTACTATTTCTACTACTTTTTTGTTTCTACTGTATAATAAATAAAAATTGAACAAACAAATTTAAAAAGATTCCACTTTAAATAAAATTGTTTAAATATAATGTTCCAGGTGCACAAATTGCTAGAAAAAGTGATATCTTTTTAAATTTTAACTAATTGATTGATGCTAGGACAAACTACATTCTTGACACCGTTTCTACTTTCAGGCAAATTAATGCATTTCAATAAGTGTTCCGATCTTATTTATAACGTTATTTACAATCTCACTTAATAATAGCTTTCTATACAAACGCATACTGGTTTATAAATTAAAAGTTTGAATTACCATAATTATCTGTGTAAGCAATGGTTAAGTTTGAGAAATAATTTGCAACAAAATAGTCTTATTTTATCGAGGTTGTCGTGTCTGCAAGTATCCAGTATGCAATATCCGCCAATTTATAAATGAGAGAGGCTGGCTCGTGACAAGAGCTCTGTATTTAAATATATCGTGGACACGTAATTAATTCAATATATATAGAAAAAAAAACACCATTCGTTGTAAATATATACACAACTTCTTTTCTACTATGTGGTATCATATTGTCATATTTACAGACAGAATTAGTACTCACCACTCCTTGTGGGATTCCGACATCGTAGGTTGGAGCAGCCGATGATGGTTGGTAGGGTCCTCTTGCGTAACGCAGAATGGCGAGCTGCTGGGCTCTCTTAATACCACATTCACCAAGACCTCGTACTTGGATCCAGTATGCACCAGGATTATTATTGGCTTCAATCACGAAGTCGTACCGTTCCCCTAAAATGGAAGATTAACATGAACATTTCCTATTATTAAATTGCAAGTAAATTTTTAACATCGTAATAGAGGAACTTGTCGGCAACATTATTCAATTCTCTTCGCTTGAGTTAATGCACTAGTTAACAATAGATATGGATTACGATAGTAGGGCGTGTCTATGAAAATAGTCAATTAACCTTAATTATATTCATAAATTGAAATATTAATAAAAGTGCTACATAGACTGGAATAATTGATCAACGTTCAATTATATCTTATGTAATTTGTTATTTTACCAGGTATAATAAATAACTAAGACGTCGTTTATTTGTTTTGTATTATCTTCAATATTTACAACAATATACTATTAAAATAAAATATTCCAATTACCAGAGAACGAGATAATGGTGTTTACTTGGACCGGCTGCACTGGCTCACCATCAGTAGCTATGACTGTCAAGTTGTGACCTTCAAATGTAACTTGAGCTGGACAAACGGATGCGAAAGCGTTAATCATTCTGAACCTGTATCTTCTTCCTGGGGTGATGGTAAATACTTCTAGAGGAGTGTTTGTCATGAATCCTGTATTGGGGTCGCGGAACTGTCCTTTGCCGTTTACCAGAACACTTTCGGGATCTTGACCAGTGTTTACAGCAAGACGTCCAGGATATCTTTCAGCAGCATCTTCATGGAGCCAGTCACTGATTAACATTACGTGGGTGGTCAAGTCGTAATCGTACAAGTGACTATTCGGGTCTTTAGATGGCGGTTGACGGACTACAATGCTTCCATAAAGACCGTCTAATTTTTGGAGACCAGTGTGAGCATGCCAGAAGTGGGTTCCTGCATTTCCTTGCCATTGGTACCTATTTAAATGATATTTTAAATAATTTTGTTGTGAAATTCAAATAAGAGTTGAGTATTTTCTATATGATTTACATTTGCATACCTGAACGTATTTCCTTGTTGAATTGGACATTGTGTAACGAACGGCACACCGTCATAGTATTGAGAGCCACGCTGCCATATTCCGTGCCAGTGAATTGTCACTTCCATACCTTCCATGTGGTTCTCTACGTCGATAACTACTTTATCGTTCTCACACACTTGAATAGACGGTCCTGGTAACATTCTGTTTGCTGACAAGATACCTCTTTCCACACCATCGGCCAGTACACACTGACAGTGGGACCAAACAACATTTGTAGCGTTGGGTGTACATACTTGGCAAGCCCTGCAAAGGAATATAATGAATTAGGTATAATGTTTTAATCGACTATAATGTAAGTAAAAATTAATATATACAAAAAATAATGTTTTTGTGACCTAAATATGCACAAACGCTTAAAATTGTGCAATTTTATAAGTGAAGGAAACAGTGATTAAAGTCTAATAGTACTATAAATGGAATTCATAGAGTAGTTGCTCTTCGGGCGATAACGAATTATAATTTAATTGACGGAGGAAACAAGAAAATACTAAGCTTATTAATAATAAAGTACGCCTCTTAATAAGTTTCTAATAGAATATAAGATTTTTCACATCTTGGTTTTTTTTCGTAATTAATTAATTATATCATTTTTGTGTAAAATAGTTACAACTTAGTAATAAGGACTTACGCTCCCAAAACGGTATAGAATTCCAAAGTGAAATGGTAGTAACAAATTCTTGGAGGTTCATTTTCTCTGCAAGCTCTTGCACATTCATCAGGAGCTGATAGAGCAGGGTTTCTTCTCAGCTCGGCGGTAGCACTGCTAGTGAAGTCCAAATGTTTCAAGGAAAGTTTTCCAGTGGCTGTTTTAGCCAGCGGAGGTAGAGGATTGTTTCTAAAATTGCCACTAAACGGGCCGCTGCCGCTTGTTTGGACAAAAGGGTTTGCGGATGGACCTATTGTGCTGTCAATCGCAGCGAATGAGTTGAAAGGGTCACTGCCTGATGGATGGGTTTGAACGAGACCGTGAGTCGAGGCGAACGAGTTGCTGCTATCACGGAAGGGCGTGGCTGTCCCTGACTGCCACCATGACGCTGATGTCGATTGGTCGTCGGCAGCGCTAATTGCTTCTGTAAAAAATAATAACGTAATTAATCAATTTATAAATCAGAAGTTTCGCGTGAACATATCATATTATCAGTTAGCGTAAACGTTATGTTGTTGTTTACGTTTTATGTTATACTAGCTTTCCGCCCGCAGGTTCGCCGCGTGGAGTTCGGTTATATCGCGTTTCCAAGAGAACCTTTCAAAAGTCTGGGATAAAAACTATCCTATGTTCTTTCTCAAGGTCAACTCTATCTCTGTACCGAATTTCATTAAAATCAGTTCAGTGGTTTAGGCGTGAAAGCGTAGCAGACAGACAGACAGACAGACAGACAGACAGACAGACAGAGTTACTTTCGCATTTATAATATTAGTAGGGATATTTGGTATTTTACGTTCGGTTTAATCTTTTTCTCGGTTTTATCTGGTTTAGGTTTTAAAGATTATACTAAACATGTCTTCTGTTTCCTACAAGGTATATCAAAATATCTGTAAGAAATAGCAATGTTTAAACATAATGTTATTCATATATGAAAACAACGAAACATTACAATATTAAGTCATATTATACTGTTTGAATGAATACATAATAATCAATAATAATGATTGATTGAAATTTCTTAAAAACTTTAGTTTTTTATTAATATTATAATTGAGTTATTACTTGAAATAATTTTTTATCGGATCCACAACGAGTTACTTCCATGAATTTGAATTTATTAAACGCTCTAGCTGTCTTACTTAATTGAATGAGATATGACTGTAGTGAATGATTGTGAAACAGGTGGTTTATGTAAATGTGGTAAGTATATGTCACAACGACTGTCGAATCGCGTTATTTAAAGGGTTTTCGGTCTTGTAATAGTCCTTAAACAATAAGGACTTTTACTTCCTTGTTGTATTAAATCGCTCTAAATTTTATCGTCACACTTAATTGAACATTTTGTTGGTTATTACAACATTTAGGTTACTCAACTCGGTGCCGTTCAGTCGCGAAACATTTTTATTTATAGTACAGCTGTATTAGGATCCGCGTCCGTGAACCAATTCGACTTTTACTTCCTCGTCCTACTAACATTGTCGTGCAATTATATTTTTTGTTTTTATATTTTTTGATAATTACAATTGGTTTTGTCGGACACGGTCGAGTATCACGACCCAGTGAAGGTCTTTGACATAATTATTATACGGCAATTTTATATTTATACTTTCATTGGACTTGGAAGTAGATATTTTAAATGTATTCATAGTAACTATACAAGGTTCCTTATAATATCTTAAAATAGGCTGTTTTTTTTTTCAATAAACGTATGCCACAGTTTTATTATAATAAAGATAATAGTCATAAGATTTTTTTCCTTGTGTCATCATAGAAATAATATCAAATAAAAATAACATAAATTAAAAATATTATTTTCCCTTGCGTCCTGAGTTCCGGCATTTAATTATTCCGTTGCGAGATGAAGGCCAATGAAGAAAATGAAATCATGCATAATAATCTAAGCAACTGTTGGTATCGATTTCAACAGTATTCAATACGAACTTTAACAAACTAAGAAGCACATAATTATTGTTTTGCTTCATTGAATACCCATAGACAGATTTAATGATACAATACTACAAATACAAACTATTTACAACGAAATAACTGTATTTTATTAACAAGGGCAAATGATTGTAGGTTCATTATGGAGCTCGGTCAGATTACAGGTGATCTACGAAATTGTATTTGCGGTTTTGTCTAATCTAAATAATCTAGGTAACGCAGATACACTTCTGACAGTGGCAGAGCTATAATATGATTCAGATCGTAACTAATTTTACGATATTTCACGCAATAAATAACTATAAAATAAAGAACACACATTCCTGAGAAGAAATATAATATTAATTGAGATTTCTCTCTAATCGAAATATATATAATCTTTAGGTATTTTATTCTTTTATTTTGGCTCGTATATGTAAATTATATAATATCATGAACATTGATTTCTACGTACATTCGCAAATTGTTATATTCACAATCCATTGTTGATAATAAGCGGAACATTCTTATTTTACGTTCCGTTTCAATGATTCGTACGTGAACGCCCTGAAGTAATTTAATTGCCTTCAGATATAAGAAAATTGTTTGAATTATACATCGATTATGAGCTATATATGTAGGTGTTATGAATATTGTTTTTTAAATAGTTTTAACATAACAGTTGCCAGTAATACTATGATACATATTGATACGTCTTTTAATTCAGTAAAACCTCATTAGTTCGAAGGTCAATTTATGACATGGTATACGCATTAAAATCAGTCATAAATAACAATTAGATGTATGCCATCGATCAATTTTAATAATTTAATTATCCTTCGTAATGGCTACGAAACAATATTCTCTAATGAAACAATGAAACTTAGCAGCAAATTATCATCATATCTGTATAAATACAAATAATTTTATAAAAATAATTATCATAGATAAGATAAAAATAATTATTATACATATTTTAAATCTGAGACATTGTGTCCGCAGCTTTAGTTACTGTGAAATTAATCTATTTTTTATTGCAAAATGTTATGGCCAGTTACGTTAAATTAGAGCTTTTACTTACTGGACCAGACAATCGCGTCCGTCAAAGCGTGAAGAGTGAAAGCGGTCGCCTGACAGACGCTTTAAATTTCAGTTAACTGACTTGCGATGTTCACACGTATTGACAGTCGTGTTGACACTTTTCACTTAAAATATCGATTACGTGGTAAAAATTTACGTCAGTTTTATACATTAACACTAGAACTAACCACTCACCGTTATTATCTAACAGATCATTATTATATGTATTTGTAAGGCCTGCGCGTCATGTTCATAATTATGACTGGTACAATTGGTTTTAATACATAAATTACGTGCCAAGATATGTTTTATTGGTTTTGACAATTCGTTATAAAGATGGTATACAGCCTCACAAGCTGTAGTAAAATATGTTTGCTAATAGGTTTAAGTTTTATAGTTGACGCAATATTAATTTTGTGACAAATTATTCACTGACTTATGTTTTTTATTTTAATTAGTTTTATTACATAAAATCTATTTTTTTTGACAACTAGTGACGTTTTCGGTGATTCTTTATGCGTTCAAATTATAGTTCAACTTAAATAAAGTTTCTTTATTGCCATTTAAAAAAATGTTTTCATTTCATGTTTATAGTTTTCCCTTGTCATCTTCTACAAAAATCAAATCTACTGCTTATAAAAGTAAAAATAAATATTAGGAAGTTAATGTATATAATATATTATAAAAATTCTCTGAAATGACGTAATTGCCAGTTGAAATACAATTTGCATTTTATTTTCTCTTCATTATTATCGCGTTGAAAATGTGTTACGGAAGTTTAATCAATGAATCAATAGCGTCTAGACATCTCATTAGAAGTTTAAATTACACTTTCAATAAAAAAAAGGTTGATTAAAGTATTGATGAATAAACGATATAATATTGCAATAGCTTAGTAACTTTCTATATAAGAGATTACAATTTTTTTGTGTTAGCAGTTAGTTTTTTTTTAAATTATATGTCATAATTTTAAATAAATTTACTATAAAATGTATTAGTATTATGATATAGAATGTGTTACATTTAATATGAAAATATTAATAATTTCACAATAAACTACATTTAATTAATGAACATTTAATCTACAACTACATTTTAATTTCATGTCAAGACTATTATTTACATAACATATGCATTAAAATGTCATTATTAACATTGTACGAGTTGCATAAATTATTTATTTTCTCACGAACAAACGAGTCAGGTGAATGAATGAACATCAAATTGAATGAATGAATGAATGGAAACTAAATCTTCAAGTCTTTAGTACTTCTTAAATCGGATTAGTCGTGATTAATGACAAATATACCGAACAAATGTAATCATGTCGTATTGGATTACGTCTTCGCTTTTGCGTAATTTTGAGGAGTCGTCTTTGAATTTATTAAATGAGATTTGTTTTGTTTATTTGTTATGATAAGATAAAATCAGTTTGATATCTTAAAATCTTAATTAATTATATTATATTGTTAAAGATTTTGGCTCTGCTAATATGTAATCGTAATATTGATTTCCAAACAATACATCAGTGCTAACAGGACATAATAAAAAATTGCCATATTGAGGTGATTAACTTTTCAATGGGACACTTTCTATTATTGCGTATTGTCTAATATTAGAACTAATTTTGGTAATCGGTGCTAACACACGGATTTGCTTGACTCACGCACGATCTAAATTCTAAAGCAATCGTTTTTTTGTTTTCACAAAGACTTGCAATGAAATAACATATCTACATTATATAATGGAGAAGAATTATGCTGTCAATATGTTGTTAGATAGTTAAAAATAATTTTAATGATGTTATTTAATATTTATTTTTAGACTATATGTGTAGAGTACGTAGTAAGAGTACTGTTTAAGTGTGTTGGAATTATATTCTCGTTCTGAAATCAGGGTTACATGGTGTGTCAATTTAAATTTTATAATACAATCGAAAATTGCAGTAGAAAATGAGCATTCTTACAAAAATACTTGATATATACAATTTTGTAACAAAGGTGTGAAAAACCGTAAAGTGTACATGGTAACGTAATTTGCTGTCGTTACTAAAACAAGGTTGAGGGAGCATTTAGCAAAAAGGAATCAATTAATTTAAAAAGACATAGTAATATTTTTTTCTGGTCATTTGAAAGTATGTAGCTTTTGCTAATATTAATTTAGTTTAGATATAGTAACGATTTGCTAGATGTTAAATAACATCGCTGATATCTATTTTTTATTGTTTTTGTGAACACAGCATTATAAGCATAAGGTTTTCTTTTACAAAATTTTTCCCACGTTCTTCGTTAGCAGCTTCTATGAAGCGGTGGGTTAATTAATATTGCGTATGTCCATATTGGGTTAGACAATTATACACCATCTGTATGTAGAATTTAAGTTGATTTTGATTCGTTTCAACATGTCTACGCCCCTCTTTTG